TTAGGCTGTGATGTTTTAAGGTCGTGACAGAAGGAATTTATAAGGAGAGGTAATATTATTGTTACACTATTGATACAGTTGGAAAGCAATGGACAAATTTGACCATCCAAATTTGGAGCATTCGTTTCTCCACATCTGTATTAGTGGTTTAGTAAAAGATATAGCAACTTCCTACAAATCCTGCTGTGCTAAATATATTACAGAAATAATTTATTTGGGGTTGAAGAATCTCTTTAAGGTGGGTGTAAACTTGATGAGAATTTTGAAACTTCTAAATATTCAAGTGTCTGTATAAGAATTATATTATACTGAATATAAAGTTATTTTAAGTGCTCAAAATCTCTCTAAAACACTGTGTTACCACCATTACTTGCTACTGTAGTGCTGTGAATAGCCCTATTAAATCTGTCATTCTCACAGAAAAGCTCAACAGCATCTTATGTTTTCTGTGCTTCAGGCAGTCCTTGTAAGGTGGTAGTTTCAAAGATTCAAATTATTAGAAATTCCAGTAGCTGCTTATACTGAGGTGTTATTTGGGGTGCAAAGAATAACTGGCACTGATTATAGGGAAAAAATGGGGTGAGGGAAATGCCTGTTGCTATTACTTAGCAACTATGGAAGAAGCTGAGAAAGTCCATTCCCTAGTAAAGCTACTACAGCAGCATTAGCTTTACACTACTTTAAACATTTTACTGCTCTTAAAAGGGAGGTGAGATAGATATGCTATTTACTGCATTTTCTTTCTTAACTACGACCATAGGAGCAAGTAACTCAAGTAACTAACTCAGTTTCAGGCTGCTTTCCTTCGTTTTTTTTGTGTAACAAACATCCTCGTCAAAACAAATACCTCACTACACAGCATGCAAAGGGTGGTGCAAAAATAGTTTATTACGATATAGTTTATGTAAAGTTAGGTAATTATATTTACAAAATAAAAATGATCAGCTACATCCAGGGGAACCTAGCATGTCACAAAAGGTTTTGTAAGGAATAAACACTGTGGCAAAACGTGACGTGGTTTCTATTACAGTGAACAGTTGATCAGGAGCAGTGGCTCTCAAAAAAGCACTGAAATAAAATGGAGTGGAAGGGAGAGGGGAAGGAGAAAAGATCCTGCACATACTTAGAAACAGGAGTCTCAAGTGTGCATTTCCGCAGAGGGAACTGAACCAAGTTTGATACCTCTTTTCCTGGACGAGGCTGGTTCTGTGGAAGCCTCCCCTGAAGAGAAGCTGCTCAGACCTACGCAGCAACCGGATTTTGGACCAACTGAGAGCTCCTCTTTCTCCTCACCCTGCTCTGGTGGTGTCTGCGTGGGACCCAGCAGCTTCCCCCACGTCAGAGCAGCCGCTGCAGCCCTCACCTGCATCGAGATCTCGGCGCTTTCTGCACCAGCCCTCGCCGCTCGGTCACACTGGAGGTGGCAGCGCCGCCTCGGAAAAACCCACCCTGCAGCTCAGCCTTCCTAGCGCTCCCAGTTCCTTTTTGCATTCCCGTGAGGAGTGGGAGAGGGCAGAGGCTTTTGTGAGATGTATGGTAGAGCTCGATGTGTGGCCCTGCTTTAACCCAGAACGAATCTCCTTCCGACTCAGTTCGGTCATTGGTGGAAAGTGCGTTCAGAACAGGAGCAAGAAGCCTTCAGCTCTGGTGAGGCTGGGGAAGGAAGCCCGACTAGTAGTACCTGTATCTCCAGTGTGACTTCAGTTACCACCCAAGACATGCAAAGTTTCCTTCTCTCTCCCTTCAAAAGAAGTTTCTTTAAAATCTCAAGACATCCTGAAACGCCAGGTCCCGAAAGGTGAATAGGAGTCAAGGACTAAAGCACTCTTATCTAGTCCCTACTTACCATAGGCTTTAGTGTTTTACAACTTACTTTGCTCTGCCTAGCTTAGAACAAAAAGTTGGTTTTCTCCTCACATTCAGCACACATTAATCATGTGAAGAAAGCAAGAAAAATGAGAAAATTACCGTTTGTAATTGCACTAATTATTTACTAGCTCATGGCCAGCTGGATTAGTTGGGTCGGTACCACCCGGACTGGCTCAGCGGGTTTCGGTGGCTTTCAGTAGCCTCCGAGCGCAGAGGGAGGCAGGAGCAGCACCGGAGCCGGTCCCAGGCGCCGCGTCCCGCGTCGCTTCTGCCTCCTCTTGCGAGACACGGCTGCGTTACAGTGCTAGGACCACAGAAGTTCAACTCAGTAGTAACTACATTGTATTAAGTTGTAATCAGAGGGTTGCTCACGCATAGTGTAAGTTACAGGAAACTTCCAAGCTGTTGTACAATGTGTATCTGCACAGCCGGGAGCTGAAGGTCCCGCGTCAACCCAGGCAGCCTTAGAGCAGCCTCAGCGCGGGGGCTGCACCACCTCACACCAGGCCCTGGCATTTGGGGACCTCGTGTCACTCACTGCCACTGGCCTCAGTGACTGCAAGGACAGCTCATCTCCAGCACAGAGCAGCTACCACTATTCTTCCACCCCTAGCAGTTTGTTAATGCCTCTGTCACACACAAGATCACTGAATCCTCAATGGAAAAGAAAAACAAGTTTATAGCGCAGTAGGGTTACAGTTCTCAAACAGACTGTACACGGTCTTTGGACAGGTATTGTCAAAACTAAAGGGATAGGTCAGCAGAAAATGTTTGAAAAGATATTTATAACAGTCATCAAAAACAAATATTCTATCAGGAAAGAGAGGGTGGGTTCAACATGTTACACTCGGTGCTCCTCTTCCACCCCCACCCCCAAAGTGGGACATCTGTATTAGAACAAGATTTAAAAATCAAAAACACAACTTAGTCACAAAAGAGAACCCTCCACTAATTTCCAAGTAATAAATATTTACATTGCGTGCTTTGAATACTATACAGGTTTTAAATTATTTTTTAAAGAGAAGAATAACAAAGCTTTCTTAAAAAAAATGGAAAAAATTACAGAGGAAAGGCAAGCTACACTGAGCGTGCATGTGCTTAAGTGTTCACAACAAACTAAGTACTTTATATGAACCACAAAAAAATGCAAAGGACTAGTGGAATCCAATCAAGTATATAGTTCTTACAAAAGTGACACATTTTACAATGCTGGGGGGAGCTGCTTAAATGCATTCCAGTCAACTTCTATTACAGAAGGGAAAAAATAGCTTTTTCCTGGCTTGCAAATCAGCACACAAGTTTAGTCTTGAAGCAAATGAATAAAAATCGGCTGCTTTTACGTGTGAGCAAAGAAAAGGTCACATTTAAAAAGGACTTGGTCTGTTTCAGGGAGAGAGGGTGCAAAGGGTAAGAAAAAAAATACGCAAAAGAAAGCAAAATATTTAGAAGCAATCGGGTGTATATATCTGTAGCTTCGTTGCGCTCGGGTTTTCCTAACCCTCGCATTTCAGTATCAGCAGTAGTGTAGTTGCGTGCAGTGCAGCAGCTTGCATTTTCCATTACCCACGGGTGTTTACTGTGCCCTTGAGCAGCGTGTGAAGCAAAACACCCACGAGAAGGACGGGCCCCGTTTCACACAGCAGGTGCCCTCGCCCTGCCTTCCTCCCCGCTCTCCATGCACTTGCTAACGCAAAGAGCCACCGATTCCTCCTATCTTGAATAATACGGATGAGGCCTGGAGCAGAGAGAAGAGATTGGATAACTAAAGAACAAAAAAAAGGTTCCCAGATTTCTTTTTTAAGCATTACTCTCTTCTCTCTGCAGGAATATTTCAGTTTCTGGCTGCCTTTACTGGACCTGCTGGTTCTCTAGTGTAAAGCAGGCGGGTCTTGCACTTCGGAGAAGCGCTCCGGTAGCAGAGTGAGGAATGAGACTTGGAATCCAGCCTGCAAACGTCCATAGCGAAGCCTTGCTCATCCCGCGGCCTCTTCCTCCTCACACGGCTTTTCTGTGCCCTCCAGACCCGAGCGCCAGTGCCGTGCACATCTGGACACATCTGGACACATCTGGAGGGGTGCTGCTCCGTGGCTCCGGACACCGCGGGGGACCTTGGCTGCTGCGCAGCAGGGCTGCGGTTTCCATTTAACCTTCCTTTCCAAAGAAGCCTAATCCCCATGGAGATGGCTGCTCTTAACAGGGACACCCCACCACCCTGCTCCTAAAAGACCCCTTTGCTTAGTGGTAAGTATCTTCAAATAGCAAGTTAAGCAATAAAAATAATTGCTTTGGATGGTCACACATTGCAAAAAAAGCCATGAAAATAATTGCCAGAGGATGGTCCCTCTAATTCCTTCACACACTGTGCGGCTCTGCAGTTTCCTCGTTCTTGTAACACACTTTTTTTTTTGGCTATAGCTGTTAGTGGTGCCCATTATTTTTTTCTCAGTGAACTTGCCCATCTGTTCAGCCTATATCAGTCGTTTGGCGGTCCAGAGAAGTTGACCAACTGGCATTAATTAAAAGTTCCCTAAAGGCAAAATTTTGACTAGCTGAGCCCTCGGGCTCTGAGCCTGTTTGTAGAGAAGTCCTAACCACCTTCAACTTCTTTTACAGATGATTCAGGGACCCCATTAAGATGTGGGCTACGAGAGGACTCGCATTTTCTGTATGATAAGAAGATAAACACAAACTAGGATGGAAGAAAGGAAATGAAAAAATTCCAGTGTCAGCCTTGCTTGTGCCACATCTCCCATCAGTGGCTCATCCGAGAGTCAAAATATTGTGTGCATTTCCTCAAGTGAAGAATTGATCCAAGTGGACCAGAACTTTTTTTACGACCTCTTGCGTAGCATACGTGTGTATATACAGGAAAAGAGAAAAACCTATATGTGTTCTCTTCTTTGCAAGTGTTCCTGGGTATCTTTGTTCTTTATTTTTTAAGCTTGTGGTGTTTTTTTTTAATGTGTATTCACAAGACTAAACCCTCATAGCCTCCCTTCACAGGGCAATTTTGAGCAGGAGCACAAGCAGAAAGTCTTTCTAGCCCAAGCCCTGGAACCTCCTTTGCTTCAGTACCAATGTGCTTTACACAGCTCGCTATCCCTTGCATTTTAATTGCACCTTCTTCTGCCTTCTTGCACTAACATCTAAGTGCTTCTACTTTGCTATTACACTGCAATGTCTTTTTGCCCACGCTCACCCTTATTTTTATTTTTTTCTCTTGTAGTAATGTATTTACACATGGCAAGACAAAAGATGAGGACCTTGAAGGCCCCACTGGAGCTTGTGGTGTCCGGAGCACGTGGCCCGGTCCTCGAGGCCCAGAGCTCCTGGCAGCTCTAACTCGGTAGCCAGGCTCTGCATCACTCTCGTGTCACATCAGCCTGTTTCTGCATCTGTGTCCTCACACCAAATGTGCCCTCCACTTACCAAATCCACTCTCTACATGAGGAAATAAGGATCAAGGCAGGATCCATGGCTAGTCCCGGATTAAGCTGCAAGAGGAACTTCTTGATAGAGTATAGAGCAGGAAAGAGAACAAAAATCTCCCTTTGGAGAGTCTCAAGACTTGGTGGCCCCAACCTGCACTACCAGGGCCCTGAGCCTGTCTCTTCCATACCACCAATATGCAAAAGGATAGCAACCTTTGGGCCTCCTGCTGATGCTGAAAGTAAGTGCTCCTGAGCAAATGCAGTAAGCAAAAGAGAGCAAAATTTTCTAGGGGATATAAGAAAGGGTTGATTCACCTTTTCACCCAAGCCATAGTAGGAATTAAGAAGCCTGGGTCACAGCACTGACATCTCTGCTGGTCCTGCAGGCTGTGCTGCTTGTCCCTAGTGTAATTCAAAGACAACATTGCCTTTACCTGCCAGTAGATCCCACTGAAGTGTTATGCTCCCAACTGCTGCTGGAACTGGGACTCCAACACACATCCTAGGTGCAACTGCAGGGTTATGCAGAAGAATCAGACCTCTCACTTAAGTCAGGAAAGACCCAAGATGCCAGAAAGGAGAGAAATGATGCACATGGTGGTGCCAGAGCTTTGGCGTTTTCCAGGAGTAGCCCTTGAGCACAACCAGCAAATTGGAGATGTCTGAGAAAGTGGGAAAGAAACAAGTTAGAAGAGTTCGTCTAGTCCCCCTTGGCTGCAAGGGCAGCAGGACCCTGTGCTGTGGCTGCAGAAAGCCATTGCTGAGCCGTGCCAAGATCATCTATCAGTAAAGTCTGTGCTTTAAACCGTTGCTGGATAAAAGATGAGTGTGGTGAGAGCAGTGAGTCCCATGGTTGATTTTACACTTTGGGGCTGGCTAACTTGGGAGCGAAGCTGGGGATGAGCAGCTTCTCCCCGTGACCGTATCCCAACAGACACGCGGGACAGGAGGAGGGGAAAGGCAGCACGGATCACAGGATGGAGGAGAAGGAAAAGCTACTCAGCACCATCGTGCCGCTCCCGGCTCCTACCAGTTCCAGCGCTGGTAGCGAGAACTTCCTGAGCGCAGATCCTGCCCTGTCCTACCCAAGCATCCCACATCAGCCACAAACACGCACGGATCTGCCTGCTTAAACCGCACTTCGAGCACCTGAAAGACAGGCGGAAGCTTAGCTCCACGCAAAGGTTAGTAGATATTTTTAAGAGCACAAGAGACTTGTTGTGGGTTGCCCAGTGGCTAAATTAGCTTGGAAACCTAATGCACTGGAAGAGCATCTCAACACTGCTCCCGGCCAGGGCGAGAAGCGCCGGGCCCGGCCGCGGGCAGATTCCCTGTGCTCAGCGAGGCAGAGCTGGCTCTTCATGGAGGGAAGCAGTGAATTGCTCGTGCTAACCCGGGATTAAGCCCCAGTGCCCATGCAGTCCTGCTGCTGCAAAGCGGAGGCCGCAGATCCTCGAGGAAGACTGTGGTGCCGGGCTGCCCCTGGGGCACAGCTATTGCTACCAGGTCTCTCCATTCAATTCTGGTATTGGTTTATTGACCTCACTTTGCTAAAAAAGTGGTATGTTTTAAATAAGAAAACCATTATGACGGAGAAGGTCTGAAGCACATACAGGTTTTCAGATTTTTATTTCGGAAAAGATTAAAGAATTAAAATAGGAGCTGCCCTGCTGACAAGAAGAGTCGAGTTCAAGAAGCCGATAAAAAAAGGAGCATTATATGCACTGAACACTGTGCCTTGTCAGTCAGTATTGGTTCTACTTTCTACTCTACTTTCCTCCTTGGACTAGGAAAAGGGAGTTTCACATGCGCACAGACCCTAGGATACACGGGACTCAGTGAGAGGAGGGGAGTAACAGCAGAAAGATTGCTGGGCTCGATCACACCGAGGCGAGAAAGGGCCCTCTCGACTCCATCCCAGCAACACGTTATCTCCGACCCGGTACCGGAGAGACAGGAGACACCGACACGGCCAAGGGGGCAGCCCTCAGGCTGCACGTGAGTAACTGTGACTCCCTAAGCAGAACCACGAGGAAAGAGCCCGAAGCACAGGAGGCTTCGCTCACACCTACGCTCAGGATACGGCACAGCCCCGGGGCAGGAGAGTCGTTTCTTCCATCCTTTCCCAGCGGGATGTCAGTGTTGCACCTCCCGGCTGCCGGCCTGCGCTCCCCGACACCTTCCCCAGGCTTTCCCCCCTCGTAGGTGCAAGCAACGCAGCAAAGATCGACGGTTAGATTAGGCTCCTGGCGTGCTCTGAGCACTGGGGCTCTCGACAGCAGTAAGAGCAAGGTATGGCCTATACCACCCAGGCCCTGCTTTTATACCAAAACAGTTGGTACGACAGAGCTAGCTTATTAATAGGCTACTGAGCCTTAATACTGACACTTAGTGTAATGGTTTACAGTAAAGGAAGGATTCTCCTACAAGCGCTGAAGAGGGAAAAGAAAAAAAAAACAAAAAAACCCCAGCCCATCCCTTCCTGTCCCTCTCCGAGTCTCTGAAGCGTCTCACAAAGCAGGGAAAGGAGCTGCGAGGTGGCGGGGGAGCCCCCGCGGAGCTCGGTCTCGTCAGGAGCGCCAAGGCGGACGACAGCAAGGACAGTCGCGAGGAGCGAGAGACAGACGGTGCTGGTGCTCGGGCTGCCGCAAGCTGGGCGGTGCGCGTGGCGAAGCGGAGCGGGGAGAACTAGTCTTTCTTCAAGTCCCTGGATTCAAAAAGCTTCAGGCGTTCTTGCACGGTCAGGCCTTCCTTCAGACTCTGGGAGAAGACAAGAGAGACACATGGGACACTGCGGATGCGGCTCGCGGCAGCGAGGCTCTGGCACACACGGATGGGGCGATGCTCAGGCAAAGGAAACGTGGGCAGCAGAGCGGCCTCCGCGGCGGAGAGATTAGTGGGACATGCTGGAGAGAACACACGGTTATGGAGTGCAGTTAACTGGTGAATCACGCCTGGAGAGAGGGTGAGATGGCAAATTAACTGGGTGATGCGTCGGGAACGAAGGAGAGGCACCGAACGGAAAGCGGGATTAGCTCGCCTTGGGAAGGGATCCCTGGAGCCCGCAGGGGAATCCTGGCTGGGACGATTTCAGGGGAGCTCTAGGGTGCTGGGGGCACCAGGCAGTCCAGCTCGGCTCTGCTCAGGTATCACGGAGCTGCAAAGAAGGATCCGCACTGGCTGGCCCCGTCTGCCTGCACGTTGACTGAATGGACGTGTCGGGTGCTCCTCGCTCCAGTCAATGCTCATGTTTTACCCAGAACAGTCCTGAAAACTGCATTTAACTGCCAGGGACAATCCCAGCCTTTCCCTAACCCCAACCTGGGGTCTTTCCCAAGCCAGAGCTGCTGGTTGCACAGTGTCAGACAGAGGACTCTCTACTAAATGCTTCCTCCACGTTCTAGCAGGACCTGATGTCTGATCCAGTTCAGACTCTGCACTCAGATCTAAAGACTTGTCAGCCAGCTACGGAACAGAAAGCTCCATCCTGCCAGCCCCGGCATTTGCATCTGTGAAAATTACTGTCACCTACACCTACGGATCTGGGAAAACAGGTACGTGAGTGGCAGCATCAGAAGCAAATAACTGGCCTGCACTAAGACAGATTTAACCTGCAACTAACCCAAGTTGACGCACGAGATCCAAGGCAGTCCGAAACACGTTGCTTAAGAGCTCCAGGGCAGCGGGCAGCGGCTGTCCCCTGTCACTGCTGCAGAGGGAGGTGACACATCTCCCTCCCCAGGCCTGCAAAGCAGGCAGGGTCCCTCTTGTGCACTGCAAAAGCTTTCAGTGCTGGGATGCATCTGCTCTGAGCCAGGCAGGCAGCCCAAGAGTGCCAGAAGGGCCAGATTATCTCACGGATAATTCTGCTGCATGCAGGCTGGCTGCTCAGCTCTGCCACGCCAACAGTATTTGCTTTACAGAACGGGTATGGCTGCCCCAAGAGGCACAGATCTGCACGCACAGACCCCGCTATGAACTGACAGCAGCGTCCCCTTTTGCTTTAGGTGACTGTGGTGATAGGGGACGACACGATCACAGGGTAGTTCAGACGCTCGGGCCGGGTTTTAACGTGTGGTTGGCAGGCGAGACTCCCTGTGCAGAGACTTGCCATGAGGCTGTGCAGGTTCCCACAGCCCTGAGCTGGTCAAAATGTTTCTTCTCCCACAGGCCTAGAAATCCAGAAGAGCTTTGGGAAACTGCATGGAAATAAAAGCCCTAAAATAGCTTGGTTTTAATTTACAAATGATGTATTTTTTCTTTTCAGCTGACAGCAGAGAAACTCTGGGGACCCAAATATCTGAGTATATATTTCCTAAAGGAAGTTAACTGGCCTATTAAATTAGCAGCAGCCCATGCATTCCAGTCTATACGTCAGATTTCCTATTATACGGAACAAGACGACATAAACCATTAGACTGTTCTGCCTAATGGCAAAAATTCCAGCAAAATCACCCCTTCGGGAGTTCCTCGATCACTGGAGCTGCTGATGAAGGGGAGCTGATGAAGGCAGCCTAATGTAGGGTAAAATCTGTGATAAAGGCATCCCCCATCAGGCTTCCCAGGGCTCTCAAGCTAACTCTCTCTCACCATTTTGGGGGTCTCGCCTCTCTTTTCTTTCCCCTCCTTCTGCAGGTGGTCTCATTTCAGTCTTTACCATGGACCAATGACATTTACTATTGCGTTTGGTTATTGGAGATATCCGTGCCATGAGAATGAGCCCCTTTTCTCATCGGCTCCCTCCTCCTCCTGGATGAGCTCGGAAGCCTCCAGCCCACGTGAGCTGGAGGGGCAGCGCTGAGTGATGCTGGTGTGAACACCTGGGAACAGCCCGCAGAGCAGAAGGAAGAGGCTCAGCAAGGTGGACACTTCTGCTCGGGCACGGCTCATCCTAAAGGAGCAGCAACCACCGGCAAAGGAAATTCAGGACATCCTCTCTGCAGCTGTGACCTGGGCACTGCTGTACAAGCCATGAGCCTGGGGGAAAGGCGTGGATGCTACTGGCCTCATCTAACGTGCTCTCTGCTCTCCTTGGAGGAGGAAACACTCGCAGGCATCACCGATCCTCTCCTCCACCCGGCTAACACCACGGAGGTGTTTTTCCCTACGGGGCCTGCACGTTGCTAGAGTTTAGTCTGAGGCATGCACAGTCACCCCGCATGCACACTCGGCGTCCCGCGCTCCCAACACAGCGAACAGGAAAACGTGCCCCACCGCGTCCGAACGCTCCACGCGACGCTCGGCTGTGTTGGCGAGGGCGGGAGGAGCGGGAAGGCGAGAAAGCCAAAATCCCCAGGGAAGAGCCGGACAGCCTGGCTTTATCCGGATCATGGGTCCGCTCTCTCCTGCCCTCCCATTCCCCACGCCCCAGTAAAATCATTAGCAGCAAGTGAACCAGTGAGTCATTAAGAGAAGAAGGGCTCTCGTTTGCCACGGAGGTGTGAGCAGTGCATGCAAAAGGGGGCCGCTCCAGTGGGCAGCTGCATCGCTGGGTGGGTGCCGGGTTGTTTACCTACGTGGCAGGGAACCTGGACTCGGGTTCATTTCAGTTATCCCATGAGACCTGCTCAATAACGGACTGTTGGAGGAAAGAGCAAAATAAAGAAAACAAGACAAGACAAGAAGCTCATCAATCCCTCATGCACTCAGGACGCTCGCGCAGCCCTGCCCAGGCCCTCCCCGCGACTGCGCTCGCTCCACGCGCGGCGCGAGGGGTTGAAGTGGTCAAGGGACAGGAGGTGTCACCTCCGGCACAGTGAGGCCTGGCTGCACCCGCAAACAAGCAGAGGGGCTCCCTGTACTTGCTGGGCGCCGCAGGCTGCCGAGCTGACGCGCACCCGGAGCGGGAAGCCTTTTCCTGCCGGGCTTCCCGCTCATCCCGACCACTTCAAACACCCAGGATCCAGCAGGGAAAGGCAAAACGAGTTTTGCCCGTGCTGATCTCCTTGCTGACTGGTCTCTGGTTAATGATGCCACCCGAGTGGCTCCATTTGCCCTTCTGTTTTTTCTCCTGTGGTCCCACAGAAATGACGAGTGTGTAACATGATGAAAATTTGGCAGCCAGCAGCCCAAGCGCAGACGAGCTTGGCCCAGCAGCAACGGGCTGGGACCAACAGCAAGCACAGAACTGCTGCAGAAGCAGGCAGGGCCGCCCGTGCCATGTTAACACACGGGCAAAGCGTGTGTTAAATAGGCTCAGCACAAAGGCATTTTTGTGCCATATAAAGACCAAAAAGCTTGCAGTGCTGAATGCTACAAAATCGAGAATGCCGTGCACGTTGCCACCTTTTGATACCACTTAAATTTCAACTAAAAAGGGGAGCCAATACTGCGAGAATCCGCCTGTGAAAGATCAAAACCCAGGGTGAACGTTACGCTCTTCTCCAAGTGGGGAGCAGCTTCACACCTAAATTCTGGGAGATGTCCTCCGAGGAGGCAGCACGGGCTGGGGGCCGTGCCGGCTGCACAGCCAGCCCTTCCTTGTTGGAAAGCTAGGTTTTTTCTCTCGGTGCCATCCAGATACTGATCCAGAAATTCTGTTTTATTCCCCCTACCAAATGCTTCCGATCTGCTCCATGGTTTCCCCAGCAAAAGCCACCAGAAAGTGACATTGGGCATTTGCAGCATATGGGGGAGGTCTGAACTCACCTTTGACCTGATATTCCTTAGCTGTCGGCTAACACTGGATCTGTCTTTCTTCAAGAAATCAGGGTTGCTTTTTGATTTCATAATATCTAGGGAGAAGCAAAAGAAGCAGCGTCAACCTGGTGGCCACAGGCTTCCTGGAAGGAGCGAGGCTGGGGGTTTATCCACCTTCCCCGCCCGGGCAAACGCTGCCAATAAACTTGACTGCAGCAGCACAGCCCTAAGGACAGAGGAGACTCTGCAGGGCCTCCTGCCCTCGTGCCAAACGCAGCATGAGGCTTTTCATGATGCAAAATGATGAAAAGCTACCGAAGACCACAGGCTTCCCGGCCTCCAGCTGGAGGAGGCAGTGCCACGGGGAGGGCAGCACGGGCCCCTTTGCTCCTTGCCATCCCTGCCGAGACGGTTCGCAAGGAGCAGCGGCAGGAAGCGGAATGAAATGGCAAAAAAAAAGCAGCACACGAAGCCCTGCAGTGGACCCAGGAAGCACGTGGGCGATGGGAGAACCAACAGCTGGAGGAGGACTGACCATATCCCGATACAGTGGTGTTCACAGGGGATTTCTCTCCCTGAGCTTCTGTGGCTGCTTTCAGCTGCTCTTTCAACCTGCTGATATCGCAGTCTGCCTTGGCCTTCACAATGCTCAGCTCTGTGTAGATGTCTTTGTACTTGTCACTGGCGTATTTCTTATCCTGGCAAAGGAACAAGAACAACCCGACACAGTAAGACAGACAACTGGAGCCAAGGGCTTTATGAACGTGCCGAAGAGAAGCTTGGCAAAAGCCTCCGGAAGAAGGGCAGCGCTTGGAGCAGCGCCCTGCTCACCTAGCACTTTTTTTTTTTCCTCCCTACTCTGCACTTTGCAGTTACAGAGCCAGCTGCTGACAGCAGGGATAAATCCTGGTTGTCCTGCTGAGCGCTCAGCTGGGGGCAATCCCCAGATTTTACACATGCTCTTGAAGCCGCATCTAACAGCAACACGGCACTTAAAGTTATGCAGAAAGCTCTGATTTCTCCAACGAGCATGCAACGCTGCCCATGCAGGCTGGCCTGTTTGTTCCAACATTGCTTGTTTGTGGGTTTTCGTTTTAGTAAAGATGTTAAGTAGAACTAGAATTCCCAGAACTGGCTGTGGCAAACAGGCCATCCAGAGCAAACCAGATCTGGTGTGGGGAGGTTGGGCAGCTCTGCAACCCTGAAATATTTTTGCCATTTCAAATCTGATCTGATGGGATAGGAAACCAGGAAAAAACACTGACGGTGATGTTTTCCCACATGGAGGGAGAAGGGGTAAAGCTGGGCTGATTCAGCAGTGGGATGCTTTGTCAATGACACCAATATGGGGAGAAATTAAATGTTTCTAATCTTGGGACAAGCGAGCTGAACCCTAAGAGCAGGGGAGCGCTCCTGGAAGCAGACCCGTCCCGGACATTACCCTCAGTGCTGTCTGCAACTCATCTTTGAGAGAGCTGATCTCCTGCTTCAGGTACTGGATTTCTGACTCCTTGACCCGCAGCAGGACCTGTGGGCAAAAGAGCAGCGACGCTCATTCCCACCCGAGCAGGACACGGCCGGGAGCAGCGGCTGCGCGCCCGTCCCGCCGCGCTCGCAACGCGGCTCGTTGGAGCTGACACGAGAAAGTGACTCCGGCGTCACCCACAAGGGACGCCTGGGCCACCCGTGCGCGTCCCTCGCTGTCCATCCCCAGCGCTTCGCACACGCCGAAGCCCATGGGACGAGGTGGGATGAAGAGCCCTGCGGCCTCCCGCCTCCGTTGCGCCGCGGCGGGCGCAGGACTCACCTCCAGCTCGTAGGCGTCCTTGCCCTGCGTGAGAGGCGACCCAGCAGCCTCTCCCCCACCCTCCCCGGTCAGCAACGTCCGCAGTCGCGTGATCTCCGCAGCCAGGCGGTTATTCAGCTCCTGGAAAGACAGGAGGGAGCCTTGGTGGGAACGGAGCAAACGCAGCGGGTGCCACTGCATCTCCCCGGCCCAACCGGCAGCTTCTGGGAAGCCAGGAGAGCTTCTGTGCCATGGGCTTTGGCTACTGGGACCCTGGCGCCTACCTGGTTGTGGGCGTTGAGCTCCTGGTTCTCCCGCTGGCACTGCCGCAGGGCCTGCCGCTCCGCCTCCAGCGCCTGCGCCAGGTGGGCGTTCTCCAGACACTTCTGGGAATACTGCTCCGAAAGGACCTCCAGCTCCCGCTGCACCGACTGGCCGGGAGAGGCGCCACCTTTGCGCTCCCCCGGCCGCTGCAGCACCCGCTGCACAACGGGATCACATCCCAGTGTTTGGGAAATCCAGCCCGGAGCCAGCTCACCCTCCCCTCTGGAGCACTCGCGTGTCCAGGCACCGAGAGAGGCAGGAGGCCGCGGTCTCCCGCACGGTGTATCCGTACCCTGCGCTTTTGCCCAGCTGCACTGAGGCTTGTCAGGATGCTGGGATGTTTTTCCCCAGATCCCGGAGGAGCAGCACAGCCTCGCTGCTACACGCAAAGCTTCTGCCCGCTCTGGAGCGACTTGCTCCAACAAACCCCATCCTAGAGCTGCTGGGAAAGCGGCACCGTCTGCTGACGGCAACCAGGGCTCCAGGGACCCTTATGTGGCTGGGAACGGCGGGATGAGACCCCCCTGCAGCGATGGAGCTGATCCCAACCCTCTACTGAAACCCGGGAGCGGAAGGGGCCTCCACGAGCGCAACCTCCCCGCGAGGGGAGTCTTACAGGTACTGCCTCCGCAGGGCCTCGATGTCGGCGTTGACGCTGCTGATCTGCGAGCGCTGCGACTTCTCCAGCTCCCGCTCCAGCTCCTCCCGGTGCGCGTTCTTCATGGCCTCGATGGCTGCGCGAGGGAATTAGCACGGGGTGAGGAGGCGGCGCAGCCACCACACGGCCCTAAGGACCTTTTCCTGTTCTTGATTTTGGAGATGGGGATTTTGGGGGTTCCCTTGCCAAAGGGAACAAAACTGTGAGTCATCGCAGGGAGCCATCCCGTTTCTGCAGGCACTGCTGGCTGAGGAGCAGGCAAAGGGCTGCTGCAAATCCTGTTTTTTAGGGGCCTGACAACTGCCCAATTCACGTGTTGTTCCCTAAAATATGGGCCTCCCGGTGCAGAGACCCCGGCCTCCAGCGACCCCGGAGAAGAAATTCATTGTGGAGGCAGCAGTACGTGAATCCCAGGAATGACTATTGCCTTGCTTAGAAGAGAGAAGCGATCGGCCAAGGGGAGACATACCCGGCCTGGAGGAGAGCCAGGAGATGGCCCTGCATCCCAACCGTGTGTCCCTTGATCCCATCCTCCTCACCCCATCTCCAGCCCCGCTCCCCCAAACCAGAGCAGAAACCACCCCTGCGCCCCCATTCCCGGGGCGCTGCCCCACGGGGTGTCCCCTGCTGTGTCCTCGTACCCGAAATGGTGGCCGCGGTTTCTTCCGCCAGCAGGCGATCCTTCTCCTCCCGCAGCTTCTCCAGCTCCCGCTGGCCCTGCCGCTGCAGGTCCTCGATCTTCTTCTGGTGCGTCTCCTCCATGGCTGCGAAGCCCCGTTCACATGTTGCCTGCGGAAGGGACGAGGACGTGAGCAGAGCGGGGGGCCGAGCGCCCGCCGGGCACACGGGGCTTCCGA